AGTTAGTCTCTCTTATCAACATTTACCATGTCGCTTTTCCTTGACGATCTCATTCTCACTGAGTCAATAAAACTTAGTCTAGCATCTTATGAATGGTGGCCACTTGCGGCAATATGGCGAGAAAATGACCCTATAATTGTTTTCCTTTAAATTTTCGCTTGTTCAGCCTATTAACTAGTTCAGTGTAGTACCTAGCGTGTGATAAACAAATACGTTACAGGTCATTAATCCAAAAAATAGATGGAAACGGGCGCTAGAGAGTGAAGTTATAAAGATAGGGAGGACACGGGGAGAGCTATTTGCGATAGCGAAGGATAGAACGACTCGGCCTGAGTGGTTGATGGCCTATGCTCCACTGAGGGCTGAAAATACAGAAGAAGAAAGAAGAAGAATCCTTAACTCTTTGAGTCCCAAGGAGCGCATCATACGTTCATAGGTTCCTACCTAGAAGCCCAGTAAACGCAAGATGCGCCGATTTTACATCTCTCTTTGCTACCCCTTGGGCCTGGGATGCTAAACCCTCTGGGACTCAAAGAGTTAATAGGATGCGATAGAATTAATAATGTGGAGAATCGGAACAGAACCAAACAAAATATAGTAAATCAAATAGGTAGAAAAAAAAATACAGTGGCGTTGGATAGAACACACATCCGAGTAACATGATTACTGAAAAAGAATCGACATCATAGCACACAGGACATACCCTTAGATGCTTAGTCTCCCGCAGCAAATTACGTAAGGTGTAGATGCTAACAGTTCCCGTAGCACACTGATTATACACATGCCGATTTCTTCCTCTCATCCATCCCTCCTTCCTGGATCAACACTCTTTTCCATCTCTTGTCTTCTGCCAACAGTCGTTTATATATGGTCTTCAGAGTATCCCCTTTGTCCAGCACGAGAGTTTACGTAGCTTTGACTGACTTTCTACCCCACCAGGACATCACACAAGCGACAAAACACCCGATGACACAAAGTGCCACCATGCGGATGAAGATCACCGTGGAGAGGTCCCAGAAACCGCGTTCAGACAACTGGCCATATTGATGGCCTGCCTATATTGCGGCCCCTGGCAAAAGCCAGAGTGGGGCTTCAAATAACAAAAAATTACATCCTAAGAAGGACGTAAGGAATAATAACGTAGCTTTCGCTTTTGTAGCCAGAAAATCAGGAAAACCTAAGAGCAGAATAAGTAAAATGACTCGAAATAAAGGCAGACTGGAAAAAACAAAAACATAAAGAGAGTGGAGTTAAATGTATGGGGAAGATATACCGTGACCAAAAGAAAAGAAATCAAAAGAAATCACGTTCAACCTGCTGTTAGCAACCGAAGTTGCCTCAATTTGTGGTCTGTTTTATTTGTGCTTTCGATCCCAGCTGCCGGCCATGCGCCTTGCGTTGGTTTCGACAGTGGTATCAGGGCGCCGACCGTCTAGAAAGCAATGGCAAACTACTGAACGTAAATTTGCCTTGAGAAACCACACAACAGCCAGGTGCTGCTGGGGTTGGTTCTGCAACGTCCTGTAAAGGATACGCAACTAACCTTTTATTTGGGCTACTTTCTTTGCGAAGTTTATGATATGTGCGCCAGATCTCTGGCTTTGTGTCCCCTTATCCTTACAAAGCAGACCGCTTCTTCTTGTCTTGTCCCTATGTTTTCCTTGAGCTGCGTGAGAAATCAAACAAAGGATTGGACAACCTGGCGTGAGCTGGCTGAGGCCCTAAATTCTTCACTGGAGGAGAAGGGTATTTGATTATCCTATAATGTTCCCGCGTCAGCGCAGTCGATAGGAGTCTCCCTTTCAAATCCAACTGCGACTCGCTGCAGCCTACGGTCAGGGTTCGAAACTGGGCTGTTCGCGGGGTTCACCCAGCCTCTAGGAAATGGGTACCAGAGTTAACACTCTGGGGTAAACGGAGGAACGTCGCTGTAGCTACGGAGTTTCGTGCGGAATGCGACACAGGCGGACAGTTTTTTTATCAGCTGTCCGTCTTGGTAGCAGAGTACTTATAGTTTATAACCGTGTGCAATAACGCTGGTTTACCTCTCCCGACTTTACCTTCACCTTCCCGCCACACGTGCTTCTGTCTGTTGCAGCACCGATGAGACGCGTCCGGCACCCTTGGGACAGACAGCACTGAGTGATCTCTGACATCAGCCAGGCAGATAATGTCTGGAAATGTCTCTATTAGCACCGGGAATGTTGGGAGAAATATCCCACATCTGGCTAATACATTATTCATTAACTGTAATGTTGTTGTTGGGTCGGAAATTAGGGGCGTTTAGGGAGATGTTATCTTTTTCTTCTCCACCTCCCCTCCACTTCTTCATTCCTCTTCTTCTGTTTTATGTCTTTCAACTTCTGTTTCCCATTCTTTTCTTCTTCTTTTTTTTTCTGTTTTCTGCCTTGTTTCTTTTACTTTATTTCTTTTAGTTTCTGTCTTCTCTTTTTTTTTCCTACTTTATTTCTTCTACTTTTTTCTTCCTTTCTTCCTTCCATCTTCTTTCTTATACTTTTTTTTCTTCTTGTTTCTTTCTTCTACCTTAATTCTTCTACTGTAAATCTTCTAATTTCTTTCAACTACTTTGTTTCTTCTACTTTCTTTCTTCTACTTTTTTGTTTCTGCTTTCTTTCTTCTACCTTTATACTTCTACTTTTTTTTCTTCTACCTTCTTTCTTCTACTTTCTTTCTTCTTGTTTCTTTCTTCTACCTTCGTTCTTCTACTTTTTTCTTCTAGTTTCTTTCTTCTATCTTCTTTCTTCTACTTTAATTCTTCTTGTTTCTTTATTCTACCTTGACTCTTCTACTTTATTTCTTCTACTTTCTTTCAACTACTTTGTTTCTTCTACTTTGTTTCTTCTGGTTTCTTTCTTCTTCTTCCTTCTTTCGAATTGATGACCTATCGCCACTAAAACAAACATAACTTTCCCGTGGAGTTTAGAGCCAGTTAATGCGGAGAAAAAGCATAAAACGAAAAAAAAAAAAACACTTCCAAACAGAAAGGCTGGTTCTGTATAGCGCTTGATAACTTTTTTTTTTTTTTTTTCAAATATAATGTGATAACATTTATATATTTGATGTCTGTTACCCCAAAGTATATCAATTCCTAGAATCAAATTAATTCAATTCCTTCCTGCGGTGGCTTTGATCGACTTCCGCTTTCTTTTCTCCTCTTCTTTACATCTCTGCATCAAGATCTCACCATATATCTCAATATAAAGATCTCCTCTTCTTCACATCTCTGCATCAAGATCTCACCATATATCTCAATATAAAGATCTCCTCTTCTTCACATCTCTGCGTCAAGATCTCACTATATATCTCCCTATAAAGATCTACTCTTCTTCACATCTCTGCGTCAAGATCTCACTATATATCTCCCTATAAAGATCTACTCTTCTTCACATCTCTGCATCAAGATCTCACCATACATCTCCCTATACAGATCTCCTCTTCTTCACATCTCTGCATCAAGATCTCATCATATATCTCCCCATAAAGATCTCCTCTTCTTCACATCTCTGCGTCAAGATCTCATCATATATCTCCCTATAAAAATCTCCTCTTCTTCACATCTCTGCGTCAAGATCTCATCATATATCTCCCTATAAAAATCTCCTCCTCTTCACATCTCTGCGTCAAGATCTTATCACATATCACTTCATAAACATCTCCTCCCCAAAAAGCATCTACTCATCTACACACCTCTCCATCAAGATCTCATCATGCATCTCATCCCCATAAAGGTCTATTCATCTACACATCTCTCCATCAAGATGTCATCACATCTCCCTATAAAAAATATATTCACCTACACATTGTTCCATCAATATCTCGCTATATATCTCAACATCAACACATCTCTCCATCAAGATGAGATGGAAAAGAAGGGTGTCTTATAAATCTAGTTTTCTGTGTGTGGTTTTTTTTAAATATCTTTTGCAGCAAACAACTCCTGCATGTGATTACTGCGTATGGCTTTACTTTTGCAATCTTACGTTTGGCTGTTTGCCAGTTTGTAAATTAGCTATAACAATATATAATCAACTGCAAAAATTCATTAATTAGTGCCTGCACAGAATATAGGGAATAAAATGGAATGACTGGAAGAGAGAGAGAGAGAGAGAGAGAGAGAGAGAGAGAGAGAGAGAGAGAGAGAGAGAGAGAGAGAGCTAACCAAATTCCAGTGAACGACTCACGCTGGGAACACCCGACTAAGAACATAACTTGAATGTATTTGCACTGGAAACTACAGGGTCAAATGAATAAAGTAAGACGCACGCACGCGCTCAGATAAAATGTGCTGACTAGCAAGTTAGTATAAAAATATAATTGACATCATATGTTTGACCAGGATCAAATGGGTACCGGGTAAAATAATAGGAAGTAAAGGTGGCCGGCGGGATATTAACCACATTATCAAAGGAATGCTGAAAGGTGTATAAAGTATATGTTTAGCCATGTATGCTTAATACAAGGGTCCTATACTTTACTATATGAATTCCAATTCCAATTCGATAAACAAAAATTCCAAACTTGATCCTTTTTCAGCCGCCCGTGGGCCTGCGATTTGAAGGAAGGTTCATTGGCTGTCTTAATTTGTTTGCTGTTCATTCTGGTGTGAAGTCACACCTGATATTCCTGTTCTTTGTCTACCTAAGTCCGGTGTGGTAATTGGGGTTCCGGGTCCCGGTCTGGCCTGGCTCTTTTAACTCGTATATCTGTGGGTTTAGGGTTAGGGATTGTTGCTGGTGCTTGGTTTAACCCGTGCTAGTCGCTGTGTGGTGCCACCTAGGCAACCGCTCTGTGGGGCCGCGTAAAAATCTACCTAAAGTATTTCAGGATCCTTGCCGATGCTACGAAGTTTGTACACTGCACTAAGAACCTTCAAACTCAGACTTGAGTTAGAAGTAAAGCTGAACACTTATGGGTTACCACCCTTGCGCCATGATGTTGATCCATTGTTTAAAACTTAAACATCTTTTACCTGTCCACAGACGCTCCTGCAACAAACACATGATGAGGTATGCCGATCACGGAAGCACGGTCCGGGATGCCGTCTGCGCCTGCGTGGAAGGATTCCATTTCCCAAACGAGGACCAGAGAGCTTGTGTGCCCAACAAAGAATGTCCCAAAGGAACAGTCCCGGGAATTTACGGTAAGTGGAGACTCGTGAAGACTTTTCTTTTCCTAACATCATCATCGGTACTTTATTAACATCCTACCCCAGGTGACTCCACAAGACAGTCCAACATTGTAAAGGGTGGTAAGACTTGGTTTTCCGGCTTTCTGATCCTTTCAACGACCTCAAAACGTTTATAACTGGCCCTAACCTTAACCCACCTACCTCCCACAAGAGAGTGCAGAGAAGGTCCCACGACTACATGCAGCCTATCTACTACAACCCTGAAATATTAGACTGTCCTGTGACCTGTGGATTTCTCCTGTTTGGTATAGGATATTAATGGAGCACCTCATCATTTTCTGTCAGGGTCATCTTAACGCATGCACATGCTGGGCACCTGCCCGGGGCTCCCGAGACTAGGTGCCCCAAGCTGATTTCTAAAGTTCAAGTGATTTGCTAAAAAAAGAAGTTCGTAGACATTTTATACAATGCGGTTAATCTGTGTGTCTGCTTCGATGCCAGTTTTCTTGAAGTGCCAGTCAAATAAATCATCATCATGTAGCAGGTCCATTGCAGAACGTCGCTCTCATCACAGTCTGCCTGAAAGAAACTCGGTCTCTTGCCAGTTCTCCCGCCTCATGTACTTTCCTACTCAAGGAGTCACTTATATCCTGTGCCCATCTTCGTGTCGGTCGGCCGCTGCTCCTTCTTCCTGGTACCATGCCTTCTGCTATAATTTGTTCCAATCCGACGTAGCGCTTGATATGACCAAAATATTTCAGCTTCCGAGACAGGGTGCTGTTTATTAGCTAATCTTCCTTGATGTTCAGATCTTTTAAGATGTCAGTATTTCTCATCTTCTTTTTCCAAGATATTCTAAGAATCTTTCTATAGAAGCTGAAAAGCCCCTATTCTCTTTCTTAAGGACTGAGAGATAGTCCACGACTCACATCCGTATGTCGCAACAGGGAAGATACATGCTGTCAGAAGTCTAATTTTTTATCCTTGCTGGTGCTTAACCATAGACTTTTAAGGCTGTTTAATCTTTGCATTGCTATTGCCATCCTCCTTTTAATTTCTGCCAAATTGTCAGTCAATAAACTAGATAAATTATTTTAATATTATCGACCATTTATATTTCATTTCTGTGCTTGGTTTTCATATGGGCCCCAGCACACTGGTTAACACGAGGGCTTATACAGTCGTTCATGCGACCCTGACTTCTTCTTGTCCTTATTTTTTTTTTTTTTTTTTTTCTATTTCCGCTTTTTTTTTTTTTTTTTTTTTAGTCTTTCCTTCTCTTCTTATCCCTTTCTTCTTCTTCTGCTTATTCTTTCCCTTTTCCTGCTCTTCCTTCTCCTACTGCTAATATTGCTCCTCATTCCTCTTATTCTTTTTTTTCTTTTTTCTTTCTGTTCTTCTTTCTTCTTTCGTCTTCTTCTTCTTCTTCTTCTTCTTCTTCTTCTTCTTCTTCTTCTTCTTCTTCTTCTTCTTCTTCTTCTTCTTCTTCTTCTTCTTCTTCTTCTTCTTCTTCTTCTTCTTCTTCTTCTTCTTCTTTTGTCTGCTCATTTCTTCTTCTTCTTCTTCTTTTTCTTCTTCTTCTTCTTCTTGTTTTTATTCTTTTACTTCTTCTTCTTCTTCTTCTTCTTTCTTCTTCTTCTTCTTCTTCTTCTTCTTCTTCTTCTTCTTCTTCTTCTTCTTCATCATCTGACTTTCATCTATTTATATAGATTAATCCCTCGACCAACTCACCTTCCACTAGGCCTGCCAGTTCGTTTCCCAACACAGCAGCATACCCTAGAGAAAACATTCATTCAAAGGACGTTTAGTTGCTCACTATCCGCCACCCTACAGAAAGAGTCACAAATAACACACTCGTATATTATATTCAATGCAGCTTCTGACCTAAACTGCAGCCTCCCCTAATAATTGTTTCCAAACATTTTTCCATGCTTGTCGTCAATTATTCCACGCTGTACGAAAGTTTATGTGTTGATTTTTCCCCGCCACGTCACATGCAGTGGTGGGACAACAAATTATTGTTGCCTGCAGTGTGTGTTATGACATTTAACTTAGTTGCTCGTCCTTTTTAAAAAAATCTTGCAGATCTACCCTTTATTGGTTGTAGTTTTGGTTTTGCTAAACCTTACGTTCAGTAAATTTATCATTGGAACTAACTGAGATCTAAAAATAGGAAAACAGGAGGCAAGTGGAGTTTTTATAACAAAGGGAGATCTATGGAAGTAAACAGGAAATAAAAACTTGTACTGCACTAAATATATATTGTCGGAAGCACATTAAATATCTAGAAAGTATATTCTCAAAGGATGGAAATAGAAACAAGATGCCAACGAGCCAGTGCACTTATATAGCAACTGACACCGTTATTAAGACATCCAAACATAAGTATGAGCGCTAAGAAACAGATTATAAACAGCATATTCATACCAGCATTGTGCTACCAGTGCCATATTTGGACTTTATCAAAGACTAACCTGCGTAAAATTAACGCCTGTGAAATGAGATGCCTGAGAAAAGCCGCTAACTCAACCATTCTAGACAAAGTTAGAAATGATATTATCAGACAGACTGTAGAGACAACACCATGCAGCAAAATTTATTGAGAAACAGAAGATGAAATGGTTTGGTCATTTAGTAAGAATGCAACCAGAACAGCTACCAGTGCAGGCGCTACACATGAAAGGATCTGAAGTGAAAGCAAGAGGCCATCCTAGGAAAAGATGGATTAATGACATAAAAATGCTTCTACTTCGACACGTAATGACAGTAGCCATTGCTGCCCATCAAGCAATGGATCGCAAACTGTTGCTCCCAACAACGCTTAACGACAGAAGTGGAAACGGATGATGATGATGGCTATACTTAAAATATTACTCTGTTGTATCAGATCAGTACTGTTGTGTAACAGTACCATGGTGCTTGTGAGGCCCTTAAACCTCAGGCTCACGGCGCCTGTCTCCATCGTCCTAAAAAGTGGTTAAAAAAAGACAGTCGTGGTTATTAATTATACCTTCCTCTCCAAAAATTAGTATTACAGTCCATATCACACTTGATGGAAGCTGTAGAGAGCAGATTCCTGGAATTGTTGATACTTTAGTCAGTACACTGACTGACGAAAACACAGGTGAAGGTGATGCTGTAGTTTACACAGATGGGTCAGTAATTAGGGGCAGGCGAAGTGCATAGGCCTTTACAGTAAGCTCAAGGGGGAAAACCATCAAGGAGATCAATGTTGCCTTTGCTGTTACAACTAGTAGCCTTTCAATAGAAACTACGGCTGTAACAAGTACTTGAGCATGGCTTGGTACTCAAAAGTTCATACACGTATGCTTTCTAAGTGACTCGATGAATATGCTTTAAAAAAATCCAAGCTGGATTTATCAGGCAAGAATGGCTTGCAACACTAAGCACTTCACGAATATCTGCCCTAACCTTCATCTTTCTGCCAGGTCATGCGTGTATGCAAGGAAACGAGCGTGCAGACTATATTGCTGACACTGCAGTTGCTATGGCTGGCCCAGTACTCGACAGAACTGATGTTATCAATGCCATGCGCTGCAATTACCGTACCGAGGAGCACGCCAAAGAACATGACTTCGTATCCCTGTCTAGACTGATGGACATGGGGGGTACAGCCAGGAGCTGTCAGAAATGAACATTTCACTAACCAACACAGAACAGGCGTCATCAGTCGTTTTACACTTGTGGGGTTTTTGAGGGGGAGATCGGAGCACCTATGGAGCTGTCTGGAGTGCTGTGATGATATTCCTTTCTAATCACCAATCACAGACGTGATAGTTGACAGTGCTGTTGAGTGGAGCTGCAACACGGAGAAAAGCTAAAAATAGCAACCACTGAATCGGTATGTCCTTTCAGATCGTTGCTCTCTTCACGGCACACCAGAAAGTTTCTTTTTCTCTAGCCATTTCCCCAACCCCGTGTGCTTTAATAGCCAATGCATCATTACCAAGACAGACCACACCGGCATGTTGATCCACAGAATTGGAAACTCGGGCGAAATCTTGTTGGCCGCAAGAAAAGATCTCAAGAGAAACCACAAAGAAACAGTGGACTTAACTAAAACCAGGCCTCCGAGGCAGGTTGAAATTTCCAAACTTGTTGTTGTTGTTTGTCTTCTTATCAAGATTTTTTTTTAAATACTGTAGCGTTGGTCGGCCTCTGCCACCTTTTCGGAAACTGCACCCTTCATCACCGTTCTTTCCAGACCACCATAGCGCTTGACATTTCATCAACAACAAATAACTAAAACAGTCAGTAAGAAACTACAAACACTCGTTAACGTGTCTTCACGGATTAGAGAGAACTATATTATTCTTGTTTAATTAAGAATCGACATCACATCACTGGGTAAATTCTCATAAGCGATCCATCTCAATCTTCAGCAGCAAGCGCAGAGTTCCAGTTGAAGTTGTACCAATAGCAGTCTGATTGTATATCCGTCTCACCTTTCCCTTGAGTGCTGGTTACTCCTTGCAGTACCATTCTCTTTTAGACCATGACGGTCCATCTTCCTCATCTGATAACATCTTCAGCAAGCACCGAGAGAGTGGGAAGAGGAGAAGACGAGGAAATGGAGATAAAAGAAGGCATACAAATAGGAGAGCGGGAGCCCGGAGAGTTGTCGAAAATCAGAACGTCTGGGATTAAAGGATATTAGAGCAGCATGTTAGAATGGGTTAATTGAACTGTTGTAGTGCCAAGCAGAGAGAACCTGTACTGGACAGGCTTATTTATGATTTTGATATCATCATGCTTCAGGAATTAAATGCAGATGGATTCGAGTGTCCTGGATACGCCAGTTATATAAATCCTACAAAAACACTTATAAGAGCTATAAAAAAAAAAAAGAGACGGTTGAACAGATGGGTCATGGGAGACACTGGAAGAGAGGTTTATAGACTGGCCCTGATACTAATGACAGGATTATCCATCTAACAAGAAAGGACCAAGCCACTATCATCAGACTCAGAACACAACATACTCCACTCAGTGGACATCTAAACAGAATACAGCCGCAACACTCCCCAAAGTGCCAGCTATGTAACTACCCCTACGAAACTGTTGAACACCATCGCTTTGAATTTCCAAAACTCAACAAGACTAAAAGAACGCTACTCCCTCCGAGACCAGACAAGTGGAACACCTTGTACGGAGGAAAAGAACAGCTTGTGAAAACATGCAAACTCCACTACATGGCATTGGGCCAAAGGGCGAAAGCTCGTGCGTCGCTGGATCGATAGCAACATATAAATCCTACTAGACGAGGAAGATATGGGCAATGTCTGCTAGTGGTGTCTTTTGACTTGGGCTAGTTAAATCATAGTGCACAAGAGGTTCCGGATGTGCAGATAGATAACGTTGGCACAACTTGGAGTTTTGTGAAGACCTATGTTACTGGCTCAGAGGGTTAGAAGAAATCGCTGGCAATAGGCTTCACTTATGTGGGGATTTTAATTCGCGGAACAGATCATGGGACAGTACTGGGGGAAATAGACAAGGAAATGCCCTAGCAGAGGCCATGGCAGATGCAGACGTAGTCTGTATAAACGATGGTTGGCCAACTAGAATGGCACTGAGAATGGTAGTACAGACACTGTAATTTATTTGGCGTTTGTTACCCAGTCAGCAGTGCTAGGTACAAAGTGAAGCGTCCTGTGCGATCATGGGAGCAACCATATGCCGTGCTCAATCTTAATTTCCAAAGCTAGCGAGATTAGGGCTTTTAGGCTGCGTAAGACCCTTGAGTAACCCAGTCATCTCCTTGTGAGATGCAATTTTTCGTTATTTTGAAGCCCCACCCTGGCTCCTGCCAAGGGCCGCAATATAGCCTGACCATGAATATGGTCTAATGGCTAATCGCGGTTTCTGGAACTTCTCCACGGGTGATCCTCATCCGCATGGTGGCACTTTGTGTCATCGGGTATTTATCGCTTGTGTGATGTCCTGGCGGGATAAAAGTACTACTACTACTTTGAGTATGAGATGGTCAGTACCCTTTTTGGAAGCCTTCGGCAGAAGGTATGCAACAGAACCTCCCGTTCTGCTTTCGTGCAGCCTCCATGGCTACGAACTAGCATAGAAAGAAATAGAGCAGCAATTAACAAATTATAGAAATTGCAAGTCACCTCAAAGGTTACAAGAAGAGGTAGAAAAGGCAGAAAACTTTAAAAAAAAAATAAAAAGTTGAAGTGTTCGAGGGGTTTACAGCAAATGCAAACAGACTAAATAGGAAAATTTTATGAATGAAATTAGAGGGAACAGATCGCTGGGTAGGTTCTGGAACTTCACAGGCAGATGAAAAGAAAGGATCGGCCTATCACAACAGGCATTATATTTACAGATATCAGTACGTCAATGACAACAGACAAAGCACAGACTGATCATAATGATAGGGAACGTAGAAATTCCCTTAGAGATAATCTATCGAATACCATTAATGATAATTGCTATCAGGAGATTATTAGTGTAAAAGTAAAGTGGATGACTCTTTTCCACGCCTTTAGGCGTACAGGGCATATAGGGCTAGACTTAAATTTGTATAGACCAATCGGCACAAGATCGGTGATGTGGTCAGCATCACGCCGACCGCCTTTGTTTCCCAGGACTTCACCTGGTACCGACTCACGGCTGGGTCTACCAGGGAACCAAGATCATTTTTGGAGAAAAAAAAGTCAGATCCGTCGGGGAGCGAACCCACGACCTCCCGATCTGCAAGCGAACGTCTAGCCGCTACGCCACGGCGACTCCTAGATTATTAGTATGGGTGGTATAAAAATATCTTGCAGAAAGCAGAAGACACTGCGCTGGGACCGTACAGAGTCAGGTATACCCCCATGAAGGACATGAGTGATGAAGACTTGAGGGAGATGGTTTCTGCATCAACGAGACCATCAGAACAGAGTCAGTACCCCAGGATTAGGTACACAGCTATGCAATACCTCTTCCAAAACCAGACATAGATCATTCCAGACTCAGCGGTTGTAAGATTATCACTCTTCAAAATACTTCTGGCCAGGTGCTAAAAAAAACTATCGCTGTTAAACTGCAGGCTTTTTTTTTTAAATTAAAGAGCTCTTGCCAAGAGGTGTTGCCAGTTACTGGCCAAGGAAAGAGGTCAAATGCGGCCACGTTTGCCATTGATGTTTACGAGGGAATTACATGACATAATAAAATCACTAATTAGATAGAGCCATGGAAGAGAAATTAACAAATTGCAGTGAATCAAGAATTTAAAAAAAAAAAACGATTCTTGTGTTGAATAGGACACTGGTTGAGAAAATCTTATAAAAACGTAGCCAGATTCTCTTTGCTCTCGATCACGGGGTTAAAGTAATTAAGCATACCAATAACACACAAAGCAGGGAACTAGAGAGGGAAGTTCAAAAAGATCGGGAGGACATAGGCTTTCGGGGAAGAGAGTTGGAGGGGGGGGGGAGTTGCATACGGTAACGGTGGCTAACAAACAATAGGACGACTTGACGGAGTTGGTTGTGGGCCTATGCTCAGTTGGGGGTTAAAGGGGAAAAGAAGTCCCTACATGAGTTCTAGAGGTCCATTTTTAGGGGTGGGAGGAAAAGACGCACTGCACCTTATAAGAGTGTGGTAAAAGGCGTCCACATTAGGGCTGTATTCTTGGAAGACGTGCATCTGCCTTAGAGGCGAGGAATCATAAGTCTGCATACAATTAGGCCATATCTGTGAAATCGGGTGTGGAAGTTCAGCCACAAGAGCAACATTTCGTTGTGGTTTTAAAAAAAACCAGAACTTTCTGCAAGTTTTCCATCTGCAGAATTCGAAGGAAGGAGGGGGATAAATAAGAAAAAGAAGAACAACAACAACAACAACAACACGCTGCTGCTGTTTTCTGCTGCTGCTGCTGCTGCTGCTGCTGCTGCTGCTGCTGCTGCTGCTGCAGAAAAAGAATAGAAAGAAAAGGGGTAGAGGGAGAGGAGAGGATGAGAAGACAAATATCAAGAAGAAGTTTGTCATTTCTTTATAAAGAGAGTGGACTTCAGGTGTCTAGTCTGTCTGTATCGTCATGTTGCTGTTGATACATAAGATTTCACAAGTGATCTCCATTGCTGCCGATATGCTGCTTCTTGGACCATGTTACTCTGTGTCATCATTATCATCAATCTCTACTTCTGCCGTTAAGCCCCGTGGGGAGGGACAGTTTGTAATTCATTGCTAGACTGGCAGCAATGGCTGTTGTCATTCCGTGTGGATGCAGAAGCTCTTTAATGTCATCAACCCAACTTGTCCTAGGGTAATCTCTCGCTTTCACTGGACACTGCAGACTCAAAAAACACTCACATAAATTAGGTATGAGCCAAACAGCTCTCTGCCAGTGCCTTCGTGCTGAACAGACTCCAGAACATGTCCTGCAAGATTGTCCTCTCCTGGCAGAGCTGCGGAGCGACATATGGCAACACCCAGTAGAACTGACAACTAAGCTTTGGGGAAACCTAAGAGACCTTGAAAAGACATCCCAGTTTATGACCCACAGTGGATTATGCGCATGACCAGAGATCGCTGAAGAAGAAGATTTCAAATTTGTTCATGTGTATCGCCTGCATTGGTCGTTGTTCTGAGTGCATTCGTTCTCAGTTATCAAACCATGTGATCTTGTGTTTCTCAATGAATTTGCTGCGTGGTGTTGTCTCTACAGTCTGTCTGGTAATATATTTTCTAACTTTGTTTCGGGTGAATAAGTTGGCAGCTTTTCTCAGCCATGCCATTTCACAGATGGTAATTTTACGTAGGTTAGCCTTTGATAATGTCCAAGTTTGGCACTGTTAGTATAAATATGCTGTTTATAATCTGTTTATTGACACTCTTACTTATGTAGATTTCTCAGTAAATGTGTCAACTAGTATGTAAATGCACTGGCTCGCTCGCATTTGCCGATCTATTCTCCAAACCTTCGTGAATATACTTGCTGGGTTTTTTAATTCTTCATCTTCAGGGATGTTTACTTCCTTTCAGCTTATCTGGCATACAGTGATAAAAAAATTAAAGTAAAGTAAAGATCCCTTTTCACGCCTTTAGGCGCATCGGGCATATGGGAAGAGCACCCATTTTTTTACAGACCAATCGGCACTCGATGGGTAATGTGCAGCATTACGCCGACGGTCTTTACTTCCCCAGAACAGCCATCCTGGTACCCATTTGAGGCTGGGTCGACCTGCGACGTCCTATACCACGATAAAAGTCCACGCCTCCCGCAGTGGGTTTCGATCGCGGTACGTTGGATTACGAGTCGGATTCGCAACGCCTTAGCCACGGAGGCCGCATACAGTGATAGTCCTATATTTTTATAACCAACTGGCACTAGATGTGGTCAGCATTACACCGGCCGCTTTTACTTCCCATTTCCTTACCCTAGTACCCATGTAAGTAGTTGTCAACCTGAGCATCACAGTCGATTCTGACAAATACATCAGTATCAGTGTGTTAATGCGGAGCTAATGCTTTTTATCTTCTTCATTCAGGAACTTGTGAGCCGTGTTTGCCAAAGGGAGGCTACTCAGACATAGCGGGCAAAATCAAGGAATGCAAGCCGTTAACCATGTAAGTACTCCAGAAGTGGACGAACATTCAGGACTTGCCACCGAAGCTTATAGCAACTGACTAATCGACCAATTTATGTTTTTCTTGTATCCCTATTATCTTTTCCAAGATAATCTTCGCATTCTTAAACACCACGACTCCACTGCGAGTGCCTTTCTAGTACAGTTAACACAACATTACAACCAGGAGCTGAACCAAGGAAAATGAAGGTACGCGCCCAGATAGAATTGGCCCTGCAGACCAAAGACTTTCTTCTTTTTATAGTCCGTGCCGTGTGGTGTTGGTAGTCATGTCTATCTACATCCTCCTGACTCTTGTACTTCCAGTTAGTTATGACAAAGACTTTTTTATTATTGCATTGATGTCAAATTGCCCAGCAACCTCTCTCTTGCTCTCCCTCTGTCTCTTGTCCTCTCCATCTTTCCAATCATCACGATGTACTCCAGTTTTTCCCTTCTCCAGACATGACCAAATTATGTCGATGTTCTCCTTCTGGTGTGAGCAATCAGTTCTCTTCATTCATTCATTCAGTAGCATGTCCCTCGCGGAACCTCGCTGCCATAACAACCCTCCGGAAAACCTTCCTATCCTGAGCAAGATGTCCTGCTCCTGATACACCCATCTGGAGATCATCTGCCACATCCTGCACCCATCTTCTCCTTGGCCTTCCTCTTCCTCTCTTCCCAGGCATATACCCCTCCATTATTGTTCTCTCTAGACTTCCATGACGTTTCAAGTGACCAAAATATTTCAATTTTTTTTTTTTTTTTTAGACATCCGCATTATTCTTTTTTTTTTCTATCCCGGATATTCTCAGTGGCACTTTGTGTCACCGGGTGTTTATCGCTTGTGTGATGTCCTGGTGGAGTACAACTTACCTTACTACCCACCTCATCATAGCAGATTGAACGTGGTCGATTTTTTAGTTTTTTTTTTTTTTTTTTTTTTTTTATATAAATGTATGGAGAGATTCTCATCATTCGTCTATAAAATCCCATCTCCATCAATTCTAATTTTTCACTTATCTTTCAACTGTCTATGATTCCCTTCCGTATATCAACAAAGGATTTATATAGCTTGTGAGAATTCTCTTTCTCACCTCAAATTGACAATGAAAGGTTGCATACAATTTGTAAAATCTGCCTATGCTTGTACTATTCTACTTTTATCGGCTTTAATATATCTCCCGTCTGCTGTTATCAGGGTACACAAGTACATGAATGCATCAGATCGCCTGATTTTTGTCCCATTTACTTGGATGCTAAACGTTAGCAAAGAATTAAACAACAGCTTTTTTATTTAGAAAGTCGTTTTTCACAACGCCGCTGTCATCAAGGCCCACCTGACAGAAATCGGTCTCTCGCAAGATCTCCCGCCTCGCTTACATACTATGCCAACCTTTGTGCTGGTCGGCCCCTGCCTCTCTTTCCTGGCACCATGCCTTCTGTTACTATTCTTTCCAATCTGCCCTGGCGCTTGATATGGTCAAACTATTTCAGTCTCCTTGACAAAATGCTGTTTACTATACTAGCCAGTCTTCCCTGATGTCCAGATCGTTTAGGATGTTAGCGAACAAAGATGAACTGGTGAAAATTGGGAACAGGAACACATCACCCCCCCCCCCCCACACACACACACACACACACACACACACACACAGACACACACACACACGCACACACACCACATACACACGCTCGTGCACTACACACACCATACAGAGAGAGAGAGAGAGAGAGAGAGAGAGAGAGAGAGAGAACGAACGCACGAACGAACTTTATTTTCAAATAGTCACAAATTGAGCACGCAAGCCCGTCTTACTTTCGGCCCTTCCAGTCAACCATCTTTCGCACAGCAGTTGTATTTTACTAATAGCGAGAGAGAGAGAGAGAGAGAGAGAGAGAGAGAGAGAGAGAGAGAGAGAGAGAGAACCACAGGCTAGTCAGAGCTGGTGTGGCCTTTAAAAGTGCTCATATTATAACATCTTAGGGGACAGGTCACAGATCTAGCGCATCTGGCTAAAGTGGACTGCGCGGCGACCGGGTGACGAACTCCTTGTGCTCCGGGTTCACGCGCCGGGAAAAAAGGGGGCGCAGTGGTATAGGTAGAAAAGCCATATTTCTCCCAGATTTACTGTATCTATCAAGGAATCAAGACCAAAGGGCTGCGATATCCATAGTACCGAGGGTTAAAAACTCATGGTTTCTGGATGCTTAAAAAAGGGGTCAGATTGGATATTTGGGACTTGCCTGTCTGTATTGTCATCTAGGATTCGAGTCAGGAAGTCGCAAGGATGGTAACAGCCCAGTTGGGGGAAAGTATACACAGACATCAACATCGATTAACAAATGATGATCTTCTTATTTCAGTGTTCCAAACTAATGGAAATCTGAAGGAAGATGCAAGGTGAAGACTGTAAAGGGGAATGTGGTAATAATGACAGCAAAATCCGCAACCGTATCAATGTGCATTTAGCTGTGTGTGAAGTGGCCAAAAACATTTTCAACAAAATGCAAAAGTTACTGACATCAATAGATATAAACAATACATTAAAAATGAGAATTGTCAAATGTTATGTATTCTTAACCCTACTGTATGGCACAGAGACATGGACAATGAACAAACAACTGGAAAATCGTATCAATTCTTTGGAGATGTGGATATACAGAAGATTAGGTCGTATTTCATGGAAACAAAAGCTATCAAATACAGAGGTGCTGAGGAAATTGGGAATGAAAAGAGAGTTGCTAGGTGAAATAAAAAGAGACAAGTGAAATATTTTGGCCACATTAAAAGATATAACAGTATTGTAAAGATCATCCTAGAGGGAAAGGTTCAAGGTAGGCGAGCAAAAGGCAGACAGCGTTACAAGTGAGAGGATAACATCAAGAGATATACGAACAGCAGTATGAGTGAGTGTACATCAAGGGCAAGAGACAGGGCTTGTTGGAGATCCATTGCAGCCAACCTTCATTGTGGAGACGGCACCTGATTGATTGATTGAAGTGGCATTATCGTACAGGAGAAATATATTTCTCTCTCTGTAAATGAGTAAAGTCGCCTGAGACGACTTGTAAGCAACGTGAAAGTTTACGTGTAGCGGTCGGCATTTACCGTGTTTTTCTGTGCCAAGAAGTCGAGAAGAATCAACACCCATCTCCTCCCATGTAAGCCATAATTTTCCCTAAAGATGGTGAAGTTGTTAATGTCTTTCTTATCGGCAATGTTGTGTAATGCCCTTTTCATTGTTTGCCTCTTCGATTCTGGTTCAGAATGAAGCCAAGTCCAGTCACGTGTCAGATTATTCTATTGAAACTCTTATCCTTCAGTTTCGTAATGGTGCAGGAGATTGATAGCTATGGTTTTCCTTGTTTCTTTATGTCTGTCTGTCGACATTCTGCACCAAGTACGCCTCGTGTTTATTTGCTTTACAAGCAGAGGACGATGCATCATACTACATCTTTTTCTTCTTCTTCTTCTTCTTCTTCTTCTTCTTCTTCTTCTTCTTCTTCTTCTTCTTCTTCTTCTTCTTCTTTTTTTTTTTCTTCTTCTTCTTCTTCTTCTGTTTCTGCTGCTGCTGCTTCTTCTTCTATTTCTTCTTCTTCTTCTTCTTTTCTCTTCTTCTTCTTCTTCTTATTATTATTATTATTATTATTATACTGCTTCTTCTTCTTCTTCTCCCCCCCCCCTCAATTCCCAAGTGGAGTATAGGTCCTCAACCAACACACGCCGTGTTATCCTTTGCTTTCACATGTAGCTCACTCCATGTCCTCCCCATCTTTTTAACTTTCCCTCACTGTGAGTTTGTGTTCTACCTTTATTTCTATGCCCCTGTGGGTTCCGGTGCAGAGATAATTATAATGATATTGTTCTCAGGTGTCTCAACGTGAATCCTATCCCACGCCGGCGTCTTTTCTTCAGCTCTTGATTCATTGGTATTTGTTTTGTTTTCTCCCGATCACAATATCATTTATTTTAAAATATATTTTAATTTCCATGTGTTCTACTCAGGCATTAGTTAAAGAATGTTTGTAGTTTATTTGAAAGTGTTTCAGTTGTTCTCGATGTTTCCGCTCCACACATCAGTACTCTGTTGACATTAGAAACACACAGTTTAAGTTTCATATAAATCATCATCATATAGCAGGTCCTTTGCAGAACGTCGCTCTCATCACAGTCTGTCTGAAAGAAACTCGGTCTCTCGCCAGTTCTCCCGCATTATGTTCTTTCGTACTCAAGGAGTCACTTATATCCTGTGCCCATCTTCGTGTCGGTCGGTCTGTGCCACTTCTTCCTGGTACCATGCCTTCTGCTATAATTTGTTCCAGTACGTCGTGGCGCTTGATATGACCAAAATATTTCAGCTTCCGAGAAAAGATGCTGTTTATTAGCCAATCTTCCTTGATGTTCAGATCTTTCAAGATGTCAGTATTTCTCCTCTTCTTTGTCCGTGATATTCTGAGAATCTTTCTATAGCATTTCAGCTCAAAAGCACCTATTCTCTTTCTTAAGGACTGGGAGAGAGTTCACGACTCACATCGTGCATGCTCTCAAAATTCAACTTTTTATCTCCATGCCGGTGCTTAACCATAGACTTTTTTGAGTCTGTTCAATCTTTGCATTGCTACGGTCATCCTCCTTTTTCATGCTGTCAAACAGTCTCTATTGCTGTTTATTATAGAGCCTAGATATTCAAAGTTTGTGACATTTTCGATTTCTTCATCATTTATTGTTATTTTTGTGTGACGGCCAGTTTTATCTGTGGACATTATTTTCGTTTTCTTTAAATTCAAGAACAGATTTTGATCTTCACTGTGCTTTTGGACGGACAATTTTAAATTTTCTATTCCCTTTACGCTGTTCGAAACGGAGGACTGTGTCATCTGCCTAGCGAAGTTCCGGAATAGGGTTATCACCAATTTTGAACGGATCATAACTGTCACAAGTCTGGTCATTTTTGACATTCGTATCAATACTTTATTATTTTCCATGACCTCCACACATTTTCTAGTGCTATGAAAACTCCTCTTGCCTTTTTCTTTCCACTACGAAGGCATGTTTATTAAAACCATTATCAGTTCAAAGGGGAGAAACGAACTCGGCTCAATAAATGCATATTAGAACAGAAAGAGAACCGCTTTTATGTCCGTACTTTCTTGATTATCGGAAAGATAAACCGGGATTTATCATAGAGGCAGGAGACAACAAACAGAAAGCAATTTAGATAACAGTACAGAGAAAACTGTTTAAAGTTCCAGGGACTTCTTTTTTCTTCTTCTTCTTCTTCTTTTTCTTTTTCTTCTTCTTTTTCCTCTTCTTCTTCTTCTTCTTCTTCTTCTTCTTCTTCTTCTTCTTCTTCTTCTTCTTCTTCTTCTTCTTCTTCTTCTTCTTCTTCGCCGTCGTCATCGTCGTCCTCTTCTTCTTCTCCTTCTTCTTCTTCTTCTTCTTCTTCTGCTTCTTCTTCTTCTTCTTCTTCTTATTATTATTATTATTCTTTATTATTATTATTATTATTATTATTATTATTATTATTATTATTATTATTCTGCTGCTGCTGCTGCTGCTTCTTCTTTATTTGACCTTAAAAGGATGGTTGGCCAACTGTGTCGTTCAAACATTTCACATGGGCGACCAGGTAGCTCATTAGCTCGCCGGTAGACGACTTCGTCGCAGGTCGGGTGGAGCGGATTTGGGTTCGTCTCCTTTGATTGTATCAATACTGCAGGGGTCCTTTTCAGAGCTCTTGGTGGCATGCAGTGCTAAGCCATTTTATATGGCGCATTTAACCTAGTCACAAATATAACCTAAAGCTCTTGATTCGGGGTTGATGGTTGAAAGTGACAGTTTTTTTTTTTCTCTAGCAAAGCACTTACCTAGTGTGACGTGGTTTATAGCTAGGTTATGATATCTACGTCTTTCATCCTTTCATCCCACTACATCTGATTTTACCCAACCGTAATCAGTCGCCCAATACGACATACTTATTCAGGGAACTGCAATGGGAAACCACATAGAGAAACTAAGGACATAAGAGGTGATCTGTATAAAGGAATGACCTTTCAGCGTTAGTGTTAAAGCAAGTGGTTTCTCTTCGTTGTGCGTGAGTAAATGAATTCATTAATAAAATAATGAGGGAATGGGTGAGTGGCGTGCATTACAGAAAGAGTGAAATAATTAGTTTTGAATGAAGAAGTAAGTGAATGAATGGGTGAGTGAATGAAAGAATGCATGAACGATGCATGGGTGAGTGAATGAAAGAATGCATGAACGATGCATGGGTGAGTGAGCAAGTGATTGAACGAGTGAGTATATGAGGGAATGATGGTGAATGAAAAAAATAAGTGAGTGAATGAATTAGTGAATGAATTGATGAACTAATGACAGTGACTAACGAAAGAGTAAATGAATTAGTCCAAACTATACGTGACACATGCCCGCCAATTGCTTCATCTTCTACAGCAGCGCGCGAGGAGCTTCTATGTTACTAATGTTACTGTGGCCTAAGCGTTGTGAACGAGCTTCGTAATGCCGAAGTGCCGTGTTCGATCCCTGCTGCGGACGGTTTGTCTTTCGTGGGTTTCGACATTGGTACCGAGAACTGACCGTTTAGAAGGCAACGGCAAAATACTGAACGTAAAATTTGCCTTAGTAAAAAAACTACAACAGCCACACACACAAAATGCTGGGGTTAGTTCTGCAACGTCCTATAAAGGATACGCAGCTAACTAACTTTTTTATTTATTTAATAATTTACCTTTCCTTCCCCGTGTGTTGTGAGTGTCATCCACACACTCTGTGCTCACTGCCGGAGGAATCATCGTCATCATCATCAATGAACAGATCTTTTACAGAACTTCGCTCACGGAACGTCTCTCTCTCTCTCTCTCTCTCTCTCTCTCTCTCTCTCTCTCTCTCTCTCTCTCTCTCTCTCTTTATGTCTCTCTCTCTCTCTCTCTGGCCAATTCTCTAGCCCTATGTGCTTTCATAGTCAGTTCATCTTCACTTTCCTGCCTTTGCGGAATTTGCCTCTTTTTCCCGACACCCCCCCCCCCCCCCCCCCCCCCCCCCCCCCTCCCCCCCCCCCCCCCCCCCAATCCGGAATCAACATGCCCATAGATGGGGGTATTCTGTTCTGCTGCATCGTTCACTTGATCGTAGAGAGCAGAAGCTAGACGTTATCCAGGCTGTTTATGATAGAGTCAACTGTGCAGAGGCACAAATAGATCATCGCGGTCTGAAGAGAAATAGTGCAGCGGGGAATGACCAGGCGATATGACCGATCACTTAACACTCAGAGGAAAGGCAAAATGGATCCAGGAGACTACTGGTACAGTCCAACTGGAACTCTACAACTGGCTGCCGAAAATGGGGACGGAGCGCTTATGGGAATGCCCTTACTGCTTAGACGTCGGTTTCTTATCCAACTCCAGCTTAACTACCAGAAATCGTTCATGACGCCCCCTTTATAATGAAGTATCAAGTCGTTACAACACAAAACGCAAACGCTGACTACGAAATGCAGTGAAAGTAACGAAAAGAACCAGATGACGGCACATTTTTTTAAATGAGGGTGTTCTGTAAGGTTTAGAGGTTTTGAACAACGGATCAACATCATGGCACACGGGTAGTAACCCATAAGTACTTCATTCTACTCAAGTCTGAGTCCGAAGAAGCTCAGCATAGTGCAAAGGCTCTGTAGCACCGGCGAGGATCCTGAAATTCTGTATGTAGATTTGTAACTCCAGATTTTGCCCGGGTAG